AATAATTAATAATTTAATAATTCCTAATAATTTCATTTCGAAAATATTAACACAGTATAGGGTTTATTTATTTTGTATAGTGTTTGTACAGTGTTGTAAGTCAGAAAGAAGTCCTATTTGGAATTATTTTGTTGATGAATGAAAAATCTGTCACAAAATATTCGCAAAAACAGCGCATGACACTGCATTTAAGAGTAACCTAAAATCACTACCAATGTTTATTAGCTGCACCTCTCTGCCTCCCCTTGAGCGACATGGCCTAGAGCAGGGGTGAGCAACCTTCTTAATCAACGGACCTATTTAAATTTTAAAATTTTTTGGCGGACCGCACATAAAGTAATACTTATTAATAATCTACAAAACTTTTATTTATAGTAAACATTAGAATAAAAAAATATAAAATTAAACAAAAAGTAAAGATTAAATATACTAATTTTAATGCAAAATAAAAACAAACAATAAAAGAACAATAAAACGAATTGTCTTGAAATTTTAATGAGAAATTTGGCACTGTTTAGTTCAATGCAAGCTGATCAATATCAACCGGAATTGATGAGGTACCTAAACGTACGCAGCTTTCTAATCGTGCATCACTCAGTCTTCATCAGTGGTCATTTTTGATTAATTTTATGGTTGAAAATAATTGTTTGCAAACATACGTACTTCCGAACACACTTGCATTGCATTTTTCATCAAAAGCGGAAATTTGTCGGGGATTCACATACGATTTATAAAAAATTTTGATGCTTACTGAGAAAAATACATTTTTTAAGTCGGTATTATTCTGCATATCAATCATTTTCATTTGAAAGTCTTCGAGAATTGTATCCACATCGATATTAAATGGTGAGGAAAACATTTTCGTTTAATATAATTAATTCAATTTTAGAAATGCTTGGCGGGCGGCATAAACATGTTTAACGGGCCGCAAGCGGCCCGCGGGCCGCGTGTTGCTCATCCCCGGCCTAGAGCATGGGTAGGCAAACTTTTAAGCTGGAAGAGGCATTCGCACTAAAATATTGTTTCGTGAATTTCAAAGAGCTACTAAATGTTAATTCGGCTTTTACATATCATCTCAAATTTATATCAGATAAAGAAGTGGTAATTAAATAAAATACGACTTTATTAATTGACTGAAGACTGAAGTTATATTAAAAAATCAATGCAAACAGTGACTGCATTTTTCTAGAAAGTTTTGGTAAGTCTGGCATACAACAAGTAGTTTTTAGTTTAAGACTTTACTGTAAATTATGATTAGTTATTTGGATTCTTAGATTACTCTTTATTAAGTGCAAAGAAGAGAAAGCTTGCTCGTACGAAAGTGTTGACCCAAAGAGCGTCCGCACACCAAAAGCCATCTTTTTATTTGCTTATAGCATTCCGGAAAATTATTCCAGGTAACGAAAATTAGGTTTAGTCATCACTTTTATAGCTGTCCACTTATGCTGCGATCTCGCAAAACATTTTTGCTTTTCCAGCTCTTCTAAGCCACTATACTTACACTAGAATATTTCGAAATCATTGATCTTTAAATCTAGTAATTGGATTTTAAATTTACATGAAAAGGAGTAAAATTTAGTTCCTTGTTGTTTGCTCTGAGAGGATTCGCAATGAAAGCCAAGGTAGGCTTATTTAGTTTGAACTGATCAAATCGTTTATCAAAACCATTCTTCATTGTTTTGATTGTTCTTGTGAAGTAACTATCAGTGTCAATAGAAGCACGGTTTTGAAGTTCCCATCCCGCTTTCTTAAGGTTTTAAAATGTAATAATGTATCCATGTCAATACAATCTACCAAAAGAAACAATTTATTTTCAAAACCAACTACTTCCTCCATTAGTAAAGAAGATGCAGTTTCTTTTTTCCTTGAATGTATATGCTTCACGTGGTTATGAGTATCATTAGGTTTTTTTTCGAGCACTGTTAAGATAAAAAATAGACAACATTCTGTACAAATTTTGTGATAGTTTGAAATCTATATACAATACACACTAAAATGGCGTCTGTTGACTTTGTAATACGCACAAATACTCGTGAACACATCACGGCAAAACAATATCTTTAAGTACACTGCTTATGCTTCCACCTGTTAAGTGTACGCTATCGTCTGTTGATCAATTCAAAATTAATTTTAAGAGTTCTAGTTTATCAAATGACTTATGAGATTGTATCTCCTTCTGTCTAATAGCAAACACGTGCAAAATTAATTGATTTCCGAAGTGTGGAAGTCAGGTTGTAATGAGCCTAAACATGTAACGAAATTACACAAATCGATATAATTGACTGAAATAATATTTGCGCCCTGTTTTTTGAATAGTCAATAGAAAGTAGGTGTAAAAAACTAAAAATTAATAAAAATTTTTTTAATTGTTTATGTTACAATCGAAGAAATTAATATAAATCAACTTTGAAGGCAACTGCCTTAAATTAAAGTTACTAAAAACAAGTTACCACTATAAGTAATGTTAGATCGGTCTACTTTAGTCTTTNCACCTTCAACGAAATTTCCTTTCCGAGGCTTTGTGTCAGCCCAATCACATATTGTGTCAATACTCATCATTTTATCGTAATTTAAAAGCTTGGAAATTGCACGGTACACTATAGGAACTACGATAAATTTTCCCTAATCGGCGCCATGTTTTTAGGCTCCTCCCATTTGACGGATCCCAATAACTTACCTTAAATTAATAAGAAAAATTTTTTGTTACTGCTGTCACACTCTCGCCGGGAATCGAACCAGGGATCTTTGACTTTAGGGACCATTTTACGAGTTACGAGATCATGGGTTTGATACCCGGCGAGGGTGTGACAGCAGCGACAAAAATACAACGTCTAATTATACAACACGCTATTGAAGCGAAACTTCTCAAACACACAAACATTCCGGGATAGGGGTTAAGGAATTGGTTTAATAGTATCATTTGTACACTATGAGTTTAAATTTTACACTACATATACATGCCGGAGTTGCCTGTAACGAACGTTGCATTGAAGCGCGCTCACGACTCAAGCGATCCCCACCACGAACTCGACTACGTGGCCGAGTAGAGGCGGGACATTCGTTGCACGATTTCCTTACATAGTAACTCGCATGAAACGAACTTACCATACCTTGCGTAAAGAAGTTTCACTTCAAAAAAAAAAAGAATAACATTACACCAACAGATCATCATCATAAGGTCATCAGTCCGAACACTGGTTGGACACGTACCTCCACTCTTTCCTATCCTGAGCTAAACTTCGCATTTCCCTAAAACTAGAACAGCCCACATCCTTAAATATTTGCGAAGAGTAATCTAATCTAGGTCTACCTCTACCCCTCCTAACTCCTGTTTCTGCCTCTAATATGTCTCTGACTAGACCTTCATGCCTGAGAAGGTGTCCTACCAACCTATCTCGCCTATTTTTTATTGACTTCCATAGAGTCCTCTGTTCTCCTATTCTTTCCAATACCTCTTCATTTCTAACCTTTTCTACCCACGATATCCTCATCATCCGCCTATAACACCACATTTCGAACGCTTCTAACCTTTTCTTTTCCGCCGCTCCCACTGTCCATGTTTCGCACCCGTACAACGCCGTGCTCCAAACATACACCTTTAACAACCTTTTTCGAATTTCTAAATTAACCGTTCGCGAGCATAGAAGTGACTTCTTTTTATTAAAGGCGACACGACCCTGCGCTATCCTCTGCTTTATATCCCTACTACTCCTTCCATCCTCACTTATCTGACTTCCTAGGTATCTAAAATCAGCCACTTCTTCTAATTTTTCGTCTCCTATCTTTATATTCGCTCTTTCCCTACTTTTTCTTCCCTTGCATATCAGTATTTTAGTTTTACTTTTATTTATTTTCATACAGTACTGATCTGTCAGTACCGCTTCCATTTTATTTAAAGCTATCTCTAGGTCCTCCTTGCTAGATGCTAATACTGCTATATCATCTGCAAATCTAAGCATACTAATCTTTTGCCCTTGCACATCTATCCCTACAGTTGTACTGTCTTTAATGATGTTGATGGCGTCTTCGATGTATAGATTAAAAAGTAGCGGTGACAGTGTGCATCCCTGCCTGACTCCCTTCCTAATATTTACTTCTCTACATTGCATCCCCAGCTCTATAACTGCCTGTTGCTCTTTATACAAACTAAGTATCACTCTTCTATCTTTGTAATTCATCCCTACATTTTTAAGTATATTTACCAACAGATGTGTAACAGAAATGCATGTTGTCAGCATCGGACTTTGAAGAAAGTTCAACATTTTCAGAAATTCAGGAAAGTAAAGATGCTTCTTTAAAGATATGATTCCAACTAGGCAGTTATAACGTCGGTCCTGATTTTTCGCGTACCTAAGCAACCTCTAACCACTGCACCACTTACTGTTGTCTTTTCACCTTGTCTGTACTGCAATCCTCATGAAGCATTTTCTAACTTAAATGACTATAATTGCCTAAGAAAGAGTATTAAAAGAAATTATTTCTTCCTTTATAGATTAGTAAATGATTTTCATTGTTCGATAGCACAAGAAGCATTTCTTTATGGAAATTCAACAAAATGATTTTTTTTTTATAGTAGGTACCAACTTTGTAACAAGATTAGTTGCTTTAAAATTCTTAACTTACTATACCACAAGTTAATTTTACTTGCCATTGTGTGCAAGTAAACTAGCCATAATGAAGTTTTTATTGCTTATATACGTTGTAAGAAATGACCGGTGCTTTCTCAAGATCTCTAGAGAAATCTCCACTTCTAGAAAGCATCAGGCGCAGTTAATTACAGCGTATAAGTTGTTACACACTAGAAAGTATTTTATTACACTGTAATTTCTAAATAAACTTCGCGTGCACCTTTTACTTTAAAATTATTTTTTAATATTTTATTAAACAACCGTATTAACAGTTCATGTTCTTTTTCAGGTATATCTATGCACAAAGGTTACGCATTCGTGCAATTCACAAACCCCTTTGATGCAAGAAGTGCTTGTTTAGGTGAAGACGGCAGGACCGTACTCAGTCAGATTTTGGGTGAGTATTGAACATATTGCATACTTGACGAAAAATCTTATAAATTGTGTTTTATTATACTATTTATAAGAAAGGAATGACAATGTAGGTAACTTTTGTAAGAAATGTCTACAGTAGCGTTTAATAACCTCTACAATTTGTGATGGAGGTATCAACACTATTTGATTAATTAATACATTTTGATGATAAATTTTTTTGTAAGCGCACTATAAAAATCGTAGTAATACGAGGTATAATTGAATATTGCTTAATTCAAGGAATAGTCAATGGACTTGCCAGTTTCATATAGGTATTAAGCTGTGTGCAATGCAAATACTTTTTTGATTTCAAATGTAAAATACGAAATAGATTTCCTTTTTGTATTTTAAATGCTAAATGCAAAATACGTATTTTAGAATACTTTCTTCAAAAAAACTACTTTTGCAAGATCAGAGCCAAAATAGGATTGCAAATAATTTTATTGATGTAAAATCACCATTAATTATTTTATTTATAACCCCATTTTGTTTCTTATCTTTTACACATTGTAATAAGAGAACGAAATAGAATCCATAGTTTCTTTAGCTTCGGGTTGATCTAATAAGTGAAGTTTTCCGAATCGTTTTCTAAGAATTTTAGATTATGTGGATTTATTAGCACACCACAATATCTTCTAGTTTTCAGTTTTACACATATTGTTTTGGGGGCTGTTTTGTCGTAATTCATAGAATTTCGTAGGTCCTTGCTAAAGGTACGATAAGTGGTGATTTGGCAGGTGCCGATATCAATTTTGAACTTCAAAATTCCATGGACCAAAAGTTAGTTATCACAGATATTTGGTAGGATGAACAATCTCCATTTGACGTTAAAGCGTATTATCAAAAGTGGGAAGTTTCGCCCGTGTAAGACGAACGTTTCGAACTTGCACTGGTTTGTATGCGACTTTTCCCTTTGGAAGTAGATACCTAAAAACAAAAATGTTTCAAAATAACTCCCCAAGGACTATATAGACATTATAAGAAAGGAGTCGAGGTGAAGTGCTCACAGTATAACTAGAAATAAAGCGCAATGTTATGAGTAGCTTTGCAACGAGGCTGCAAGAATGTGTGCTACAAAACGGGGACCACTTCTCGTACATTATTTTTTAAAAAGAACGATTGTGTATATATAGAATATGTCTATTCGTGTAGATTGTGTTTTTATCTATAAATTTGGCGACACACTAACAATTATATAAATTAAAACAACATAGTTAAACCACTGCTATACTGGCATTGCACGTGCGAAAGCGAATAATTCTGTATAATAAATATAAATAAATTCTGAAAGCGAGACTTGAGTCTCCATCTCTCGTTGAGTCTCTCTGGTGTCGCTGAGAGAGACTGTCTAGAGACTGTCAAAAAAAACTGTTTAGCGTCTCTGAACGAGAGACTCGAGTCGCTTATAGAGATATCCTCGTTTTGTGTCCAATCTCTGAACGAGAGACTTGAATCTCTCAATAAGTGGCGTCTCGATAGACATGGTTAAAATTTTCTAAGTTCAACATATTTTAGAGATTTCAGTCTTTCTACGAAAGACTCGAGTCTCTCAATTTTTCAGTTTTATTCATTCAGTCTCTCTGTGAGAGACTCGAATCTCTGAATTAACAAGTTTATCGCTCTAGTCTCTCATACAGAAACTGTGAGAGATCCATAAAAACACGTAGGCAATAACTGAGAGACCGTGAAAGACTGTGAGAGACGCTGAAAGACTCTGAGAGACTGGAGAGAGACTGAAAATTTTTGTCTAGAGATACCACTATACTATTTGAATTTCTTCTCGAAGCACGACCAAGCAGCAAAATGCATTTAAAAAAGTCTCCTCCGCTATTTTACTGTATGCATCCGTAAAATTTGGCAGTACACTTCAAGAATCGCTGGTTGAGAATCACAGTACTAAATCAGAGTCGGCCAAACGGCTTTTTTGACTCCCGAGTCCTCCTCAGGTATACCCAAGGAGCTTCTCATTACTCCTGTGAGTGCGAGTGAGATGATTTTTTCCTTTTCTTGTCCTTCCATTTTGTAGGTGAGTCCCCTTTTCCATAGCCAAACCCAATAGTATTGCGAACGTAGTCCGACACGCTATCTTTGTGCTGCGGGACGATTATTAGAAAATTTTCGTTGGTGTTATTTAAGTTGCGAGAGAGGCTTCGCTCGTCTACGAGATGAAGGGACTTGATATGGGAGTGGAAGGGAAAAGAAAATGAGAAAGCAATATGGGTCATTACTGCTTACCCTCTCGTACTCATTGAAGGGTATGAAGTGACCCAAATTAACCTCAGGTAGCGGCCCCTACGAAGTTTTCCCAGCACTGTACTAGACTCTGTCTGTTTCTTTTTTGTTCATAAAAATTACTCCCTTCGGAGTATAATCGCTCGCTCTACTTAGTGTTCGCAGGCAGGCATAAAAACACTCATGTTATACTTCGTTTACTTTCATGTGACCTTCAGTTTAGCCGGCGCAAAGTAGAAAAGAACAGCACTAGGCCAGAAAAAGATGGAGACAACTCGCGGCCAAACTATTAACCGGCGAGGAGCGTATAATCCGTACAGTACTGCAAGGAAAAAGTGACCATTTTTTCCACTACAATTGCATTGCTCAAATGTGTTGTTGATGGTACCATTTACTGCTAAAAATATCAACGAGATGTTTACTTATATACGAAGACATATTAAAGGCTTTAACGCATGTTTTCGACCCTCACTACTATTCATGATTGAACAAAACTTTTGGCAGGTTCTGTATGAAAAAGTATGTTTAATGAACAAGAGTCGAGAGTATAATGAGCTTTTTTCTCCCTACCTGTGAGATTTCTCCCTACTTGTAAGATTCGCATTCGTATAAATTGAACTGAGTGCAAACAGAACCGATCAATATCTACTCGGTGCTCGGTTACTCGGTAAAAATTGTACTCGATCCATTTGTAGTACCCGGTAGTATAAAAATGATAGCTAATATATGCATATAAGATACCCCTCGTGGTTAAAGCGATTAGTTTATAGGAAATTGAAATTGAAGATTTATTTCTTTTCCTTCTGAGAATTGAAATTGAGAATTCTTAGAGAAAGATATTGCGTCTCGTCTTTCGCTTTTCAAACACGACCGTTGACTTTAGCGTAACTGCAACTGATGTGTCGAAAAGATCGAGAAGGCTAAGTACGTATAAGATAGGGCAATCGGCAAACACAGGGAAAACGAGCGCAAAGGATCGCCGAGTGCGTGATAAGGGATAATAATATCATCGGGAACGAGCTTTCGCGTTCTCCCACGGCTTTTCAGCCAGGGGGAGTGTTATTTGGGATGGGGGGTGAAAAGAGAAGGGGGAGTGGCGCAAGGAGCGGTTCGTTTCGCCTCGAAGCTACACTAACGCCTCATGGAAGTCAACATAAATTCCAACTTATCCGGCGCGGCGTTCTGCCGGCGCGTTGCAGATGTTTAGATTAAGTCGGAGCTCGGGCAGGGATAGAAATTGCGTTACTTGGATGACTGTTGGCTAGCTCCGTGGATGGATATGGTAGTTGATGAGTGTCTACTTTCAACTGCATCGTTCTGCAAACGTGTAGGAAAATGTAGCAACATAAGCATAAGTATACTTTTGCTAAAAATTCACAAACCTCGTACATTATGTAAACATCTTCGTAGTATGTACATACTAGACGCAGTTGCTTGTCTTTACTGTTTTAATTACCCTAGGTATAAGTAAATATTATTAGTATTATGATTTGTATCACCGTTTGTGATTAGTGGGTAAGTCAGGACTAAGTAGGCTTCCGTAAAATAAAATAAATTATGTAATGCATTTATAACGATGTGAAATTAAACAGTTAAAGTTTTCGGAATTTTCCTTTTCTTGGATATGACCACATGGTAACGGTAATGGGACGCGAGTTTCAGACAAAAGACTTCCGGGCGTCCCCATCTATGCCGACGACAAAGGAATGAAACTGACCATGAGAAGGAACGATTTCTTTTCGAAAAAAATAGAGTCCTCATGATACGTAACCAAAAACATCTCCAGGTTCAATAACGAAGTTATCTTTTTCTGTAAATTCCATATTTTTTACGGGAATTTAGTGTTATGTGAGAATTGGACGCAACACTTCGACATTATTCAATCATCGAATATTTATCCCTTACATGTTTATTGGCATTTACATGTAACCTAAAGTAAGAGGCCTAGCAACCGTTGACCGTTAACCCCGATCGATAATTTTATTTTTCATGATATTGTTCCAATGTTTGTTTAAAGAAATAAAACTGACAAAATTGCAACCTCAATTTTTAAATGGGTAAATTGAGTTCCGGATGACCTACTTAGTGCCTACATCGTTAAATATAAATTAAATTAAACTAGTACCGGCCGTAGTCGAAGTACAAATCGTGTCAGTTTATTTTACTTAAGCAAATAAAAGGAATTGCAGTAGTAAAGAATCGAACCCGGGCCGTCAGCGTTGGAAGAAAGCATTCTATAGTCGGGACGATCAAAATTGGAAAAGTTTACAATAAATTTCTTGTTTCCACTTGGGACTGTGGTCATTTGCTGCGTTTTGAACACGTCCTTCTTAAGTAAGGAAATGCTTCGTGAGGAGTACAGACAAAATGAAAAGAGATAACCGAATAATAGTGAGCGGTGCAGCTGTTAGAAGTTGCTTGGGTTCGCAAAAGATCAGGGTCGGCTTCATAACAGCCTGATTGAAATTATATCTTTAAATAAGTATGTTGCTTTCCTAAATTCTTGAGAATGTTAAACTTCCTTTAAAGTCCAATGCTGGCAGCATGATTAAATTTTCCTTGTCTGCTTCTTCTTCTGTTACACATTAATTGGTATAATGATATTCCTTTGTTTTTGTTAGTGCTTGCTGCAATTCCTACCTTACATCTCTCTTCTATGTTTATGAATCCCTATAACGTCTGTTGTGAGTAAGAGTTACGTGTTCTGTTAGCAACAGCTTTAGTCTGTTTAGCAAGTTGAAAGAAGAAAGT